ATAATATGAAGTACTTTTACTGTGTACTTCTTGAGTAATCCTGTGTCAAAATCCCTAACAGAGGATAAGATTAAGGATATTTCGCCCAATTTGATGTGGAATAAAAAACTTGTTTTCCATAAGTAGTCCATGATTCATATACAGCTGAACTGTGGTATTGCTCCCTTTTTGTTAAGTAAAAGATCAGAGTATTTCCTCTACCACTGTGTAAATCTGAAACTCATGGATTCATGAGTAGGTGTTTTTCCAGTCATAACACCCCAAGCACATATGGCCATGGATACAACTTGAGAATTGAGTTGACCATCAGCCAGCAGATGTTGACTGTGGTTGACTAGGAGCAGAAAAGAAGAGAAGAGTTGAGATAGATTTGCCAATCCTAGCTGACAGTAACATCAAGAAGATGGAGCACCAAAAGATCCCAGGGCTGGGAGACCACAGTGACAAATATGTGACCTGTATAATGCAGGTAAAGCAGGGGAATGAGGACACAGTCTGTCTTGTTTCCTTTCCAGATTGCCTCTTTTTATGATTTATGGGTAACACTTTACAATAAGTTACACATAATTATAGTAGTTATTGATGAACTAATGAGGAACTAATGAGGAACGAATGAGTAGTTACTGAGGAACTAAGCTACACAAAATTAGAGTAGTTACTGGGGAACTAATGAGGAACTAATGAGGCACGAATGATGAACTAATGAGAAGTTACTGAGGAACTAACTATTAGTTAATGGTCAGTTCTTCAGTAACTCATGTTATATAATATCCTTTATCTTTTCTTCTGTTAGGGATTTTGACACAGGATTACTCGAAAACTACACAGTAAAAGTACTTCATATTATTCATGCACGTAGTCTAGGGAGTACTTATTTCAGCGGTATATGAATCTTTGAGTACTTATGGAAAATAAGTTTTTTATTCCACATCAAAGTTCGACAAAATAACCTTGATCTTGTCATCTGTTAAGGACTTTGTCACAGGATTACTGAAAAAGTACACAGTAAAAGTACTTCATATTATGCATGCACGTAGTCTAGGAAGTACTTAGTTCAGCGGTATATGAATCATGGACTACTTATGGAAAATAAGTGTTTTATTCTACGTCAAAGTTCGGCAAAATATCCTTCAACTTGTCCTCTGCAGTCTGACCCACAGTCACTACCAGCAGCTCTTCACAGCCGTTTCATTACGATTACCGTAAGTGTTAGTAGATTCGCGCACTAGAAAAAAACGTGCGGCTGATTTGACCAAGCAAAAGCGAACCACGGCTGGCTTGACCGCAGTAACAGACGGAACAGGCAAGACAAACTATCCTACGTTTAAATGACATATCGAACATATCTGCTTGACAACTTATCATGGAGCTGGGAACAAGCCCAAAAAAACAACTACGCTTTAGTGACAAGCCCCAAAAAAAAAAACCGTGACCCGCGACTACCGATATTTGTAAGCGACTTTACAGAAAAACAAGCCCAAAGTCGCTTATAATAAGCGGAGCTGAGAGGAGACGATCTGGTGCTTTTATTTTGGAGGAACCACCCTTGTTTCCGCCGTTAGTGACGCAATGATGCAGTCTGATAAAGTTTGTGAGCAGAGGAAGAAGAGGCGATGCAGGAACGTGGCGGTCGCGCGCGCAGTTTTCAAGTGAGTCAGTCTTTATTTTGTTGGTGACAGACTTCCGACAGCCTGAGTGATAAACCTGCAGGTGATCAGATCAGACATGTGATTGATTATTGGCTGGATCAATAACGGAGAGATGACCACAGGAAGTCTGCAGAGCTGTCAGAAATAACCCCGGAACCTCAACTGGTGCTCTTGTTGCAGGGGGACAAACCCCACGCTGCCTCAGGTGTCATCGAGTCCGAGGCCCAATTCCAATCCGATCCCTTACAGACTCACTGATTTAGAGGCGCGTTCATGTGAAGTGCGTGAGTGTGTGAGGGCTGTCCCATTGTCAAATCGTCAAGTCAGTGAGTCAGTGAGTGAGCCCTTTATGCCCCCTTACCGTAGGTCAGCATCGATGCAGACTTACGGTAAGGAAATTACCCACAGTTCATAGCGTTGTGACGTCATATACAGGGGTTGCCCTCGGAACACCGGAAGTGTTATAAAAAAAACCCCGAAAACACGGTCGGCAGATATGCAAACGGTAACGTTATGGAAGGAGAGCGAAAAAACAGATAGATAAACAATGAAACATTACATTAACAAGGATTTAAGATGGTACATAAACAAACATGAAGTCAGAGGAATACCAGTGGTTATATTCCACACACAAAGAATATATATCTATATATATATTCTTTGTGTGTGGAATATATGATGACAATAACCGATAAATGATCACGCCCAGAGCCGCCAGTGTCAACAACATTTTGTAGAGAGGGATAAGTGCTGTCCCATTCCTATTTGTAGCATCCGGAGCCCTTTCAGACTCTCACACTCAATCACTTACAGCTGACGTCAGTTAAGTCAGTGAGGGTTCAGGGCTTGAGTCTTTAGGGGCCGGATTGGAATTGGGCCTGTGGGGCTGTCCCATTTTTCCACACTTGGCTGAGATGTTATGTCATGTACATGCGGTAAGCTTAACACACATGCACATACACACATTGCCTACACATCAATAATTACCTTAGTTGTATAGCGGTCTTTGGAAAAGAACTGAAATTGTTGACATCGAGGCCATTATTTCGACCGTTGTTTATTTATTTATTTATTTTTCACTTATTTCAGTACACAAATGATCTAAACAGGAAACTTCTTCAAATCACTCTCATGGCAGTAACAGTAAAGAATATCCTCTCATTTAATATTTCTATTTTGTCCACAAATGACAGTACTAAAAGTATGTCACTAATTGATTCCCTCTCTTTTGTTATCTTGTACCCTGTACTCAATCCATCAGTGCCCATTCTGCAGCTGTGATTTATGTTGAGCGGATGTATGTATGTATAGGGATATATGAATACATTTTCATGTTGGTACATGAACAGTTCATGATATTTCTATGACATGCATTTACAGAAGTCAGTTAATATGCTGGCATATATAACACTACGTTGGATATCTAAAGAAAAGTTAAAGATTATTAATTAGTGAATAAAAGTTTTAGGATTAAATAAGTTAACTACTGTTTTGTAATATTTGTCATGTTGGAAATAAAGACATCAATCAAAAGAAATGACGGAGCAAATTAGGCTACTCACCTGTATACATCAGCTGCAGTATTTTTAGCCCCAGTAAACAGGTAATCATTTTCCGTTCTTAACTTAATGAATTGAAACATTGTTCTGTGGTCCCTATTTCAGATCAATTCTGTGGTTAGTAAATAATTCCAGGGCAAAGCTTGATGTGAATTTCCTCACCACAGACACATTAACAAAGCTTCCTAACATGTACCATCGTGACACTATGATATGAACTGGACTGTGATATAAAGAGGCAACAGATAGCATCTTCTCCTAAATATATCATGATGAAAATAATGTGTGTTGCACAGGGTAGTGTCCACAGTAAAATCAGACTATCAGCGTTTACATAGGTTACTTTGCAATAAGCTTCTGCCACCGGTGCTGAAATTTCACGGGAAAAAAATCTGCTTTACGGCAGGAAACACGTCATGTATTGTGAAACTGGTCGGTCAGCCAATCAGGGACTGGAGCTGGTCCTTATGAGGAGTTGGGCATGAGATAGTTGAGTCACGAGCACAATGGCAGACGGACAAAGTTTGGAGACAAGTGAAAAATGGCCTAGCAAAAGAAAAGGAGCTCCTCTGTGTGAGGAGGCAAAGAAGAGCAAAAAGGAGAGTGATAAAAGAAGAGGAAAAACAAGAGTAAACCTCAGTCAGGCGTTCAAGAGATGGAGGGAGCTCCGTGACCAAAGAGGCTTCAAAACCCATGTCCAGCTAGCTTTCTTTCTAATGGATCAGTAAGTAACACGGCTAAATGTTAGCTAGACCAGAGAGGACTGTACTGTACTGGCTGCTAGTTCATTCCTAGCTGGCCAGCATCGCAAATCGCCGCAACCAGGGAGCGGGTAGCGAGTGTTGGTCGGCTGACATCCTGGTTGCCATTCTACGGCAGCCCTCGGACAGTGATACCCCCCTCCCTTCCTTCTGTTCTCTTCTCACGGAGGCAGCTATCCACGGACATCGCCCAGCTAAGTTACGCCCAGCTAAGTGAACACTGGACTTTGTTTCCCATTCAATTTGAGCTCCAACCAGCCGCATGGTTTCCATACGGTAGTGTTTATTCTAGAATGGGGACTGTTTACATGTGCATATTGGTATAATTCCACTGTGTCTACTGTTGTTTGTACTGATACTGTACATATTGGTATCATTTACTGTGAGCTGTTTGTACTGGTACTGTGCATTCTGCTATAATTATTTGCATTACTATTTGTTTTTTCTTCAGATAAATCTGATAATTGTTGCTCGGTCTCTTTACTCATTTATTTAGTAGAGTGTCCACACACCTTCTCATTCTACATATACATAGAGGTCAACTTGGTCGTTGCCACAGTGCGACGCAACACCACTGACGCTAGGTGGTGCCAAGCTAAAAAAAACGGATTCCTTTCTGTTGCCTCTTTAAATTTATGAAACATTTTTCTTACATTGAAATTTCTTCAGCGGCATCTCAGTCGAGATCCCGATGATGGCAGACTCACTGAACCATAATGGGCAGACTTCACCAAGTCTAATATAGTTAGAGTACGCTACACTGTCACATTTTTCTACCATTTAAAAAAATGTGTGAATAGTATGATCTAATGTAAATATAAATACCATAACTGTAGTGATGCCAGGCATCTCATCTGCCAGTCTGGCCTTGACAGTGGTTTTCTTGTCCTCACTGACATATTTTATTTTGAATCTTGGATCCAGAGTTGTGGCGAGGTGGTCGAGCAGCCCCTGTGTGTTTGGATCACTTACTTTTCCTGAAGATACCCCAGGATTCTTGACTTGATTGATCGTATGAGACCCGAGTCATCTTCCTGCACTGCCACAACAGACGTTTCAAAGAGGTGGAGAACTGGTTTCACTGAGGAGATGCTCACATATTGTTCTCCTGAGAGGGCATCAGTGAACTCTGTCTGTGGGCTGAGTGTATTTTTGATTGCCTCGAGGACCTCTACGTCCTGCCATGTGGGAACCAGGTGTCTAACCTTCCGATCAGAGGAGAGAACATGTGAAATAGCAGGTAGCTGTTCAAGTACCCGCTGGACCATAGCTTGTCTCGACCCCCATCTTGTTGGACACTCGGTTTTCAGCTTGTGTTCAGGTAGCTTGAGCTCCTTTTGGGCCTGAGCAAGCTTTTTGCATAGCCCTACAGCGCGGTCGATTCTTGGATCTTTCATTGTGTTCTCTCGAGCAGAAAAAAATAGAAAAAATTGGAATAAATTCTTGACATCATCAACTATTTTATTATATTTATTATTATTCACTACTTTACAGTAATATTATTGATATTATTGATTTTATTATTGTTATTAAGGTTTCCCTCTACTCAAAAATGTTTTTCTTCTTGTTCTTACAGTTGGATGTTTGAGGTGTGTCCAGCAGCTAAAATAAAAATATTTGTATATTATATTTATAGATCTAATCTTAGATTTGTAATGAGGTACAATGAGATGTAATTTAAATGATTTTAACAAGATCAATTAACTTTGTTGAAAAACAGTATGAGATTATTTTTAAATAATACACAGCTCACCTATAGCCAGATGCAGCCTGTGTCCAAAACACTGAAGCCTTGTCTTGTCCAGTTGTTAAGTGATGCTGCTTTCACAATGTTGGATCCATTATTCGTGGTTATGCACACCATTTTTGCCTCCTCCAAACTCCAAGAGGTAAGACCTTCCTTCAGTCCCTGTGCTAGAGCCTCATCTGTGTGATCCTCGGGGGAAAAAGGCAGTCTGTAGGCACCGAGGTTTCATAGTGAATTCACTGGCAACATAATGGACTGTCAGGCTCATGTATGGTTCCATAGTGTGGCTGGACCATAAGTCCGTCATTGCCGCAAAATGATGTGCTGCTCGCAAATCTGTCTCCACTGTTGTTCGCCACTGACTGTACAGAGTAGGTAGTGCAACGTTTGAAAATTAGTTGCGGGAGGGCACTGTGTAACGCTTGTCTAAGGTGTTGATCATTTTCCTAAATCCCTCATTTTGCACAGTGTTGACTGGAACCATATTTTTAGCCAGGTGATACATGATCGCCTCTGTAATTTCCCTGTGTCTGTGGGAGCTTGATGGGTATGGAGATGCACTGTTTAAGGTTCCCATTATTGATGTCTGGGTGCGGGTGGTAGAGAGGGAGGGATTTTCTCCTGTTATGTTCTTGGCCTTTAAAGCTTCGTCATATTGCACTTTGTGGTGTCGTTTAAAGTGATTATTCAAGTTCGTCGTGTTATCCTGCGGTGCTAATACTATGGCAAAATACTGCTTACAAGTGACGTTAGTTTGACTTTCATCGTCTTCTTTGAATCCGAAAAACCTCCACACCTCAGAATCAATTTCAATTCAGTTTTATTTATAAAGCCCAATATCACAAATCACAATTTGCCTCACAGGGCTTTACAGCATACGACATCCCTCTGTCCTTATGACCCTCACAGCGGATATTGGACCCTCACAGCAGA